CCTATTCTGAAAAAAACATCTCTTAACCCATCCCCCTCTAACTATTGTCCCATATCCCTGCTCCCTTTTTCCTCAAAGCTTCTGGAAAGACTTGTCTTTATCCATATGTCTCACTTCCTCAGTTCCAACTCTCTCCTTGACCCTCTTCAATCTGGCTTCCGCCCTCTCCACTCTACTGAGACTGCTCTTATCAAAGTTACTAACTGTGAATAAATCACCCTGTTATTTCAGTAATTTAACTTTTTTCCCGTTCGTCAATTGAAACTACTGAACACAGATCACCGCCCAGCTCATTAACTTAAATGAGAATAAGGAATTAGTGCTCTCCTTGTGTGGCCGCCATTCGCATAGTCGAATGCCGCATGCAGGAGAAAACGGTGGCCAGCTTGTTCACACAAAAGGAGGCAGCGGGACTTGGTCTTCGAGTGTCTGGAACTAAAATCGGACACTCGACTTCCCGAACACCAAACTTTATGAACGCCTGCTTCCTTTTCCCGAACAGCTAGGAGGGCTGTTAGGTAGTTTTGTTCCCACAAACTAGGAGCCAGGGGGTACTGTTCATGGATTTATTTGGTTTCGAGACTTTCCAAAATAGACAGACCGCACAACCTGAACTCATGGAACTGTTTCTGGGCAAGAGCCTCATGTGCAGTGGGTTAAATTAAATCCTCCATGCAACTCCTAAACTCCTGAACTGATCTGGGTGATTTTGGATATGTTGGTCACCCAGATCATGGCTTTCAGAGGATGTAACATTTATGGGGATTGTATGTGTTTTGGGGTGCTTTTGAAGTTTTGGGAAAAATTTGTTTTTTCTGCCTGGAGATAATTGAGTTATTACAGTATCTGACACAATTATCTCCCAGGCAGAGAGAAGGGATTGTATGTTTATTATGGGAGTAAATTACTTTGTAAACCTGTTGTGATTAGTGGATAACTTTGTGTTGAAGTCCCCAACAAGGTCCATATGTGAGTACCCCTTACATGGGGACTTCAATAAAAGCCACCATTAAAATCATTCCTGTTACACCCTTCATCAAGTTTCGGCTGATGTTTGGGTACCTGTCTACTTTGAAGAATTTACTTGGAAGGCTGACATTCGTATGGAGAATCGTTCAAATCAACACCTGAACTGCGAGCTATAATCACTCAGGCTCTAGCAGTTCAGGTGGAAATAGGCGAACGGGTATCTATTATACCAGCGTTTGTTACACTAACGACCTAATTGCAGCTAAATCCAAAGGCCACTACTCCATACTAATTCTTCTTGACCTCTCTGCTGCCTTTGACACTGTTGATCATGCTTTCCTTCTTTAAACTCTTCAACCACTCCGTCTCTGTGACTCTGTACTCTCGTGGTTTTCCTCTTATTCCTCCTAAGGCTCATTCAGTGTCTACTTTTCTAATGATACCACCACCCCTCATCCTGCCATGGTTGGAAGGTCCCCTTCTATTTTCTCTTTATACTTTAATCCCATGAACCAAGTCTGTTCACACTGTTTTTTTTAAGTGCCCATAGTCTTTTGGTAAGAGGCTGGCCAGCAGGCCCCTCCCAGAACACGTGGCGAGGCTCAGTTCGTCACACCACATTCTGTAGATTCCATCTTGAAAACATAGCACGCATCCGCCCCATTCTTACGCAAGATGCTACCAAGGTGCTTGTCCATGCTATAGTAACTTCCAGCATGGATTATTATAACCCTCTCCTAATTGGTCTTCCCAAAAGCCGTATTGCCCTACTACGGTCTGTAATGCTGCTGCCAGACTGATTTTCCTCTCTAGTCGGTCCTCTCACACCTCACCCCTCTATTAGTCCTTACATTGGCTTCCTGTATCCTATAGGAGTCAATTCAAAGTGCTAACCCACATCTTTAAAGCACTGAACAATTCTAGCCCCTGTTATATCTCTTCACAGATCCATAGGTATGCCCCTTCTCGTTCTCTCCGCTCTGCCCATGACCTTCTCCTGTCTGCTGCTCGCACCCGTACAGCCAACTCAAGCTTGCAGGACTTTTCACGGGCGGCTCCCTTCCTATGGAATAGCCTACCTACCGGCATCAGACTCTCCCCTAGTCTTCAATTGTTTAAGAAGTGCTTTAAAACCCATCTCTTTAGGAAAGCTTATGGCCTCCCAGAGTAACCTATACCTCACATACCTGTCTCTTGCTCTCTCCTAAAGGGCAGCACTTTACTCTCTCCTCCAGCTCTGCTTCACTCCCACCTTATTTGATTGCTATTTCCTGTGTTTTATACCCCACCTCCTATAGCAGGGGTCCTCAAACTTTTTAAACAGGGGGCCAGTTCACGGTCCCTCAGACACTGCTGGGGGCCGGACTATAAGAAATATGAACAAATTCCTTTGCACACGGCACACACACGCATAAGGACATAAATACACATACACATCCTGACATACATACATACATACATAAACAGACACAGACATACACATACATACATTCACACAGACAGACATGCATACATACAGATACATACTGACATACAAAAAGATATGGAAGGGCTGCGCCAAATAAGGGTAGATAGTCCAGTAAAGTATTGCTAGGGTGCCAATAGATGGTCTAGGATACTTGATAGAGTTCCTCTGTGGATGCGTCTGGTGTAGACCGTTCCGTATATGTAAATACAAGAGAGGTAGAGGCGACTAATGGTATAGTATGAAAGTTCAGGGTGTGATAGGTAACAAAAAGTAAAGAACTCACATTCAAGAGAGCTATGGCCAGCTCTGGTGTGGATTGCGTACAGCGGTATAATCCCCGCTTATGGGATATGTAGGGAGGGGGTCTCCGTCAACACCGTCTGGTAGTCCAGAACTCGGAAAAGAAAGACAGAAAGCAACAATAGTGCTCTCAATTTTGATGTGGTTCAATGTGCAGATAAGAAGAGGTAAAAAACTCACATTTGAGGGAGCTATGGCCAGCTCTGGTGTGGATAGCGTACAGCGGTATAATCCCCGCTTATAGGATATGTAGCGGCGATACGTCCGTCAGCACCGTCTGGTGATCCAAGGCTCCAATATAGAAGAATAAAAAGCAGCAATAGTGCTCTCAATTGTGATAGGTTAAGAGAGTAGTAGAGAAAATAAAATAATACTCACAAAGATAGAGCAGAGGTACTGCTCTATGGATAGGCGCTGGTGGTATGATCCCCACCTAGGATTTCTTGGAGTACTGGAACTTTAAAATTGCCAGTGGAAGTAAAAGTAACCAGGAAAGGTTAAAATGCCAGGAATAGGTAAAAAAAGTTGTTTAAAGTGCATAAAGAGTGCAATAAAAAGAGGATTGGTACAATAAAGTAGCCCAAAAACTTTTATTGATCTAAAATGCACAGTAAAATACAGAATTAATAACCATAAACGCGTTTCACCATAAGTGGCTTCTTCAGAATGGTGGTATGATCCCCACCTAGGATTTCTTGGAGTACTGGAACTTTAAAATTGCCAGTGGAAGTAAAAGTAACCAGGAAAGGTTAAAATGCCAGGAATAGGTAAAAAAAGTTGTTTAAAGTGCATAAAGAGTGCAATAAAAAGAGGATTGGTACAATAAAGTAGCCAAAAAACTTTTATTGATCTAAAATACACAGTAAAATACAGAATTAATAACCATAAACGCGTTTCACCATAAGTGGCTTCTTCAGAATGGGATAGGGTTACTTACATTTTTATCCCATTCTGAAGAAGCTCTTATGGTGAAACGCGTTTATGGTTATTAATTCTGTATTTTACTGTGTATTTTAGATCAATAAAAGTTTTTTGGCTACCTCTCCTAGGTGGATAACCATTATCCATATTCCTATTTTATTTTCTCTACTACTCTCTTAACCTATCACAATTGAGAGCACTATTGCTGCTTTTTATTCTTCTATATTGGAGCCTTGGATCACCAGACGGTGCTGACGGACGTATCGCCGCTACATATCCTATAAGCGGGGATTATACCGCTGTACGCTATCCACACCAGAGCTGGCCATAGCTCCCTCAAATGTGAGTTTTTTACCTCTTCTTATCTGCACATTGAACCACATCAAAATTGAGAGCACTATTGTTGCTTTCTGTCTTTCTTTTCCGAGTTCTGGACTACCAGACGGTGTTGACGGAGACCCCCTCCCTACATATCCCATAAGCGGGGATTATACCGCTGTACGCAATCCACACCAGAGCTGGCCATAGCTCTCTTGAATGTGAGTTCTTTACTTTTTGTTACCTATCACACCCTGAACTTTCATACTATACCATTAGTCGCCTCTACCTCTCTTGTATTTACATATACGGAACGGTCTACACCAGACGCATCCACAGAGGAACTCTATCAAGTATCCTAGACCATCTATTGGCACCCTAGCAATACTTTACTGGACTATCTACCCTTATTTGGCGCAGCCCTTCCATATCTTTTTGTATCTATCCACCGAAGGACCCGAGGGGTTTTCCTTCATTTGGGTTGCTGCCTACCTTGACTAATTTTGTGATTACTAGCGCTGAATTCTTTTTGTGTTTACATACTGACATACGTACATACATATACACCCTGTTACAAATTATTATGCAAATGATATTTTTCTCATTTACCAAAACACTTTATAGGTTGTAAAGAACTGAAAATTGTCATTTGTTGTGTTTGCAGCATATTTACTGAAATTAAAAGCTATTTCAATCAAACTTATAACAACATTTTAACTTTTTAAACATTTTAACAAGTCACGTTACATTTTAACATAGGACCCCTTATTTAATAGCAGCTTCACAAGTCTTGCATCCATTGAACTTCAGAGTTTTTGGACAGTTTCTGCTTGAATTTGTTTGCACGATATCAGACTAGCCTCCCAGAGCTGCTGTTTGGATGTAAACTGCCTCCCACCCTCATAGATCTTTTACTTTAGGATGCTCCAAAGGTTCTCAATAGGATTGAGGTCAGGGGAGGATGGAGGCCACACCATGACTTTCTCTCCTTTTATCCCCATAGCAGCCATTGATGCAGAGGTATTCTTTGTAGCATGAGTTGGTGCATTGTCATGCATGAAGATGATTTTTATTACGGAAAGCATAGTTCTTCCTTATGTACCAGGGAAGAAAGTGGTCAGTCAGAAACTCCACATACTTTGCAGAGGTCATATTTACACCTTTGGGGACCCTAAAGGGGCCTACCAGCTCTCTTCCCATGATTCCGGCATAAAACATGACTCCACCACCACCTTGCTGACGTTGCAGCCTTGTTGGAACAGGGTGGCCGTCCACCAGCCATCCACTACTCCATCCATCTGGACCATCCAGGGTTGCATGACACTCATCAGTGAACAGGACTGTTTGAAAATTAGTCTTCATGTATTTTTCTGCCCAATGCAGTTGTTTCTGCTTGTGAGCATTGGTTAGTGGTGGCCGAATAGAAGGTTTATGCACAGTTGCAAGACTCTGGAGGACTCTACACCTTGATGTCCGTTGGACTCCAGAGGCACCAGCAGCTTCAAATATTTGTTTGCTGCTATGTAATGGTATTTTAGCAGCTGCTCTCTTGATCCGATGCATGGATCTGGCAGAAATCTTCCTCAATGTGCCTTTATCTGCACGAACCCATCTGTGCTCTGAATCAGCCACAAATCTCTTAATAGTGCGATGATCACGCTTAAGTTTTCGTGAAATATCTAATGTTTTCATATCTGTTCCAAGGCATTGAACTATTTCACTCTTTTCGGCAGCAGAGAGATCCTTTTTCTTCCCCATATTGCATGAAAATGGTGATCTGCTTAATAATGTGGAACACCCTCCTTTAGTAGTTTTTCCTTAAATTGGTCTCATCTGGCAATCTAATTATCACAGGTGTCCGAGGTTGTTTTCAGTGATCAAAAGAGCCCTGAGACACAATGCCATTCATGAGTTAAACTGAAAAACAAAATATGTAATCTTTGTGACACTTAAATAGATTTTGCATAATAATTTAGAACAGGGTGTACATACATACATACATACATACTAACAGACATACACACACATACATACTGACAGACAGACATACAGACATAGATACATACTGACATACATACATACACACATACATACTGACATACCTACATAGACACATGCAGACATACATACATAATAATCTGAGAGGAGGAACTACAACATCCCAACCAGAAACCGTTTCAAGCATTAGAAGGCAGTGGGATTTCTCCCAAACCCTCCTCCTCTTCCTCTTCTTTTTTCCACAAGAGCCTGATCCAGACCAGATTCAAACAACTCCAGCAAACATGGGAATGGGACTCACCAGGCAAACGTCGGAGATCTTAGGAAGAAGGAGAAATAGAAGAAGGAAGAGACCGCAACAGAGAGTAACGAGGACGGTTATAGATGATAAGGGCATTTTCAATCTCTCAGACAAAATACTGGAAAAAGAGGAACTTGGGATCCTTAAGAGAGGACTAAAGTTCGCCCCAACCTAGGATTTTAAACATTTCGATTTCTTTATAGATCTTAACCGATTTACTAGACAATTATGTCTGAAAAAGTTTTTTTTATGACAAAAAACATTCAGGGCAAATGGACATCACTTCCTCTTACATACATAGTGATCTTAAAGAAAAAATCTAGATTTTTCCCAAAACACATGGTCTCGAGTGAAATTAAGACATTCAAGACCATGGTAATGAAGGAAGTAAATAAAATAAAGAATACAAACAAATATCAAAAGAATCTCTCGCAGGTGGAAATAAAGGCTTTAAGGAATTTGCAGAGAAATGAAGATCTCATTATTAAACCAGCTGATAAAGGGGGAGGTGTTGTGGTTTTATCAAAACATATGTGGGTGAAGCCGAAAGACTCCTGTCAGATTCAAATACATATAAAAGATTAAAAATTAACCCTAGTCAAGAGATTAAAGCTAAATTTGAGACATTTATCAGTGAGGGATTAGAGAAAAACATTTTAATGGACACAGAGGCCAAATATTTAAATATTTTTAATCCTCAAATTCTGGTCTTTTATTGCTTGCCCAAAATGCATAAAGATTTGATAAACCCCCTGGAAGTGGGAGGAGAACTACATATTGGTTACATGTGATGTGAGTTCCCTTTATAGTATCATCCCACACAACAAGGGGATTGAGGCAGTGCAATACTTTTTAGCTAAATCCGATTTTAAGCAAGAACAAATTGATTTTATAACTAAGGGTATATTTTTTAATTCTTACCAATAATTTATTTTGGTTTAAAGACAGCTTTTTTATGCAAATCAATGGAACAGCGATGGGAACCAAGTTTGTGCCCAGATACGCCAACTTGTTTATGGCGTACTGGGAGGAAAGGTAAATTTTCCAACATGCCTCACATGAGGACTTGGTTACCTACCGCCGTTTCATTGATGATATATTTTTTAAATGGAAAGGGATGAATTGAGCCTTGCTAATGTTTTAATTTTTCTTAATTCCAATGATTGGGGGATCATTCTCACCTCCACCCAAAGTAAACAAGAAATCAATTTTTTAGATCTTACTATCTTTGTAGAAAATGGGGATATTCATACCAAGAATTATTTTAAAGAAGTGGACTGTAATGGATATATAGACCTCATGAGTTGCCATCACACTCCATGGCTTACAAATGCACCCAAAAGCCAATTCATGAGGTTGAGAAGAAATTGTATGCAAGAAAATGATTTTAGTAGACAAACTGAAGTGATCAAGGAACAGTTTTTAGAAAAGGGCTATAAAGAGGAAGATCTCCAAACAAGTTTAGAAGAAGTTAAAAGGAGGGAAAGAAAGGAGTTATTAAAATATAAGAAGAAAAATAAGGAGGATAGAAATATGGGAGTCCCGTTTATTTGCAATTTTTCTGCCAGGAACAAAAAAGTATGATATGCTATTAATAAGTACTGGCACCTTTTACACGACGACCCTATCTTGAAGAATATTTTGCCACCAAAACCTAGAATTATACATAGAGGCTGCAATAATATTAAAAACCTCCTAGTAAAAAGCAATTATAAAGATCCATGAAACACTAGTAATAACTTTCTAACCAAAAACAGGTTTATATGGATGTGGAGCATGCGTAGCATGTAGGGAAACAAATAATAAGAAAAGGAATATAAAAAATATAAATTAATTTATGAAAAAAACAAGTTTTTTAATAAGAGACCAACTAACTTGCTTCTCCAAGAATATAATTTATTTATTGAAATGCCCATGCAATCTACTATACATAGGGAGAACAATTAGATGTTTACACACTAGAGTATCCAAACATGTGAGAAATATTAAGAAAGGAGTTGAAACACACAGTGTCTCCCATCATTTTAAATATTTCCATAATCAAAACCCGAAAGACCTCACATTTTGTGCACTGAAAGTAGTCAAAAAAAATTGGAGGGGAGGAGACTTTACAAGAAAAATTGGAATTGAGGAAATTAAATTCACTTTTAATCTGGATACTTTGGCACCCCATGGTCTTAACATTCATTTTGAATTATGTCATTTTTTATCATGAGATCATTGTATGAAATATCTATAAGACTATATGCGGTGGTGGAATGCATAGATGCGTTCCACAGGATGGAGGAGGCTCTTGTTGGACCATGTGACCGCCGAGTGGCACGCACGTTCCATTAAGGTCACTTCCGGGTTTGTAGAAGTCAGCACCTATGTTCCAGCCAAATCATTGCGTGCGTTCCATTGCGGTCACTCCCGGGTTCGCAGATGCAAGTGATTTCGTAATTAATAAGGTATAAAAGGCTGGAAGGAAGCAAGATGGATTACAGACCAACTGAGGAAGCCAATAATTTGGTGAAACGCATTTTGAACTTACTGAGGACTTATTTTAGACTCAATTGTTTTATTAGTATTTTTATCAGTGGATTGTTATATATATTTTTTATTCTTCAATAAATTTGGATCCTTTTTTCACTGGAGTCTTCCTGTCCATTCCTGTGCATGAACTTGAAGGAGGAAGAAACCAGAAGGATATACAAGTGGGTGGTGGATCTCCCTTAAAAAGATCCCAGAGCGCTACACACTAAAGCCAGGTGACCAGTTGGTTCTACCTTTGTGAGTTGTGAATTACCATATTTTTATTTATATTTCAATTGTACATACTATCTGCACTATGTATATGCCATTTATTATTTACAGATTGTTGTGAAGGATCATAATTGAGCATATTCATTTTATATTCAGGTATTCTAGAGCTCCACTTATATTTTTCTTTGTCTAGACATACATACATATATACTGACTGACATACATACATACATACATAGCTAATTTTGCTCACTTTTTTTGCAGGAAGGTGGCTGTGGCTGATTGGAGTCGGTGTGGCTCCCGTGGCCTGGCTCTCTTCCCTCCCGCGCGGAGAGAGCTGGGAGGAAGTGACCGGCCGTCACTTCCTCCCAGCACTACTGTGCGGCCGAAATTTTTTAAAGTGTCCGGTCTCACTATTTCACGGCCACAGCGCTGACCGGGCCCCTGAAGATATAGGGCCAATCAAGTGGCCCTGGTTCCTTGGGCTGGGTTAAGGACCCCTGTCCTATAGACTGTAAGCTCATTTAAGCAGGGTCCTCTTCAACCTACCGTTCCTGTAAGTTTTCTTGTAATTGTCATATTTATAGTTAAATCCCCCCTCTCATAATATTGTAAAGTGCTACGGAATCTATTCACGCTATATAAATGGCAATAATAATAATCATAATAATAAAATTGTCACCCCTTATATGTTTCTTAACAACCATATGTAACAACCATATCACCGTATCACAAAAAAAACACATTATGAAAAAAAAAAATTAACTTACTCCCTAGATTCCTATTTGTATTTCAAACCATTCCAATTCCCTATGTTAGATATGCCTTTAAAACCCTACAAAAAGCAATAGATTTCTACATCTGGAATGGCTGTAAAAAAATGTTAATTCGCAGAAATACACTTTATATCCCGAGGAAATCAGGTTGACTAAGCTTCCTGAATTTCATGCATTACCTTCAAGCAGCACACCTAGCCCAAATACAACTTTGGCATCTACTGCAGGGGAAAACGAGATTGGTGGACCTAGTGCGCCTGACCTTTGGATGGGATCACCTGTCTATTTATATCTCTCTTCCCAAACTACACATACTTTTCCTTACACTTCTCCAACAGTCTCATACACAGTTGAAAGCGGGAACAGCTCCATTAACAACTTTTGAGAAAAGGCCATATATCGGACATATATCTATCCCTGGTCACTCATAAATCCCACCTTATACTCCCGTACATTGCAGCTTGGGAATCACTCTGAATGGGTCTTTAGACTGGCCAACATATGGGAAGGTACTGCTTCCCTTACCATCTGTGTGACACATCTTGAACAGGCTTACAAGATGTTATTCAGATGGTTCTTAACTCCCAAATCCCCTTAAATTTTCATCCTGACTAGCCTTTGGTACAAAACGAGCCATACGCAAACTCTGGTCCACCACCAAAATCTCTTCCACCCTGACAATCCACAAGAAAATTCAGGATAACCTGGACGTAGACAAGTTATGAGCCAAATTTATGACACTCCTAAATCTTTACATAGAATTTGGGACTCTTGGCTGGAAGGAGACACCACCCTACCATGGTAGAAATTAGATGCTGTGACAAACGCCCCTTTGTCTGGATGTTCGCCACTGGCTCCTGGAGGAGTGTGGAGGCTAGCTTCCTGCCCACTGACTATGGGCCATGCTAAAGACTTTGTGGGATTCCCTTGGACTGTTCGGGAACTGAACCAACCCACGAACTGCGGACCACCTCTGAGCTTATTGACCCTTGTTAACCTCTCCTGACACTTCAACCAGTGTGGGTTCTAATTGTGCGGCTGGGTGGCCGCTGTTCATATGAACGAACGCATGGGAACTGTGTGGTGGCCATCTTGTTCGCGAGAATGCAGGCAGCAATGTTTGGGCGTCGATCGCGTGGAACAAAAATTGGACACTGAAACTCCCGAACACCGCTGAACTTGGACGAATGCCTGCTCCTTCCCCACACACGTCAGGAGAGCGCCATTTGGTAGGTCTGTTCGAATGGTTCTTATGAACAAACGCTACCAAGAAGCCAGAGGGGGCGTTCAGTATTTAATTCGCATGGAACTCCCAAAGTTGACCGGCAAAAGGACAAAACGCCATGGAACTATTTTGGGAATAGGACCATGTGTGCGGCCGGTCAGAAGTTCCCCACGGTGGCGTTTCAGAGGTTTTCGTGGGATCTGAGCGTTTTTTAGATATGTTGGGCACGCAGATCCATACTACCTTGTTTTCATATTTTGTCATTTTATGCTTAGTCATTGTGACATGGCATTTTGCATTGTGTAGGCGTGTTTATGGGTGTGTTGTGGGAGTGTCATGGGTGTGTTTATTGTGTCCCTGTAATGTTTAAAAGCAGAGCATTGAGCCTGGATTAAACAGACCATTTTAGCCCTTCATGAAGTCTAAGCTCATGTTTGGGGGATTGTGAGCTATATTCACACTTATAATCACTACCGCGTTTGGGACTTGGGAGATTTTTCACGGGTATACTCAGCCGGAATATAGGGGATCCGTTACAGATGCCCTCACATGAATCTTCTTTTATCATCACTGGTACAGCGACGCTGCGGAATCCAGCGATAACCCTATACCAGTACCCTCCCTTACCTTCGCTCTACTACATGTGAGTGGTGGGATGGCAGACACTCTTCCCCAAGTTAACAACTTCTCTATCTCCCCTGTCTTCTGCTTCACTTTACCCTCAAACACAGACATGAGACCAACCACAGAGAGACAACCAATTTTCCTATGAAAGGAATAAAGGAACGGAACAATTTATAAACCTCTTAGAGCTACCCATACAACTCTCCATCTCCTTGGACACAGTACAACATAATACTTGCTCCCACTCATTTCCTTAGGCACAGAGTATTTTGTTCAGCCATATCCCTATCGGTCCTCCTCCAACTAATAGCTCAGATCCTCCTTTCATCTCTATAACAAATGTACTGTAAGCACTGACATTGTAATTTAGGTACCTTGATGTGACATCACTACTTGAATTGGTAAGGAAGGATTACCTACCATGCCTTCTATAGATATCCATGTCTCCAACCATGACATCACTACCTCCAACTGAAGCCTAGGTCACAGCTCTTTGCCCAGAAAGGAGCCCTGGCTGAAAGTCTACCTGTGAGTCCACTGATTGGGGTTTGTTGTTCACTGACTGACACAAGTGGCTATAGACCCTAACTAACTCACTACACATTGTTACTTGTTCACTTTGCTGTGTTATCTTTCTCCTTTATGCTGATTTCTACTATTCGTGAAAATTCTAAATAAAGAGTTTTTGAAAAAAATGTCAAAATACAGTGAATCTTTTTTTCTGTGATTTTTTAAACTTTATTTTTAATGGGTTTTTTTTAGCTGAAATTGTCAGTAAAACATATTTTCTGCAGAATCCTTTTGCACTGCCATTTGGAGTTCCTGGGAAAAGGGTGTATGGTGTTACTCATAAATAACACTTAAGCTGTACATACCAGGAGACAAGTTAATGGTGTCTATAATCAATGAGAACAATGGTTTATGTCTGTACCATAGCAGTGACAAAAACATGCTTTGACATTGGGGAGTAGAAAATTGAGGGTCAATATGATAAAATGCTATGTGACAATAAATTGATGACTGGAATAACCAAGCTCACCTACCACAGTAAGTAAAATCCATAATACTGTAACAAACAAATAAGCAATATCTGAGATTTCAAAATGGGGGTTCTTTGAGGCAGATAGTTTTTATCTGCAATCACAACCTTTGAAATTACACTCTTAGTAATAAAACCACAATTTAGTTATTTTGGCCCATAAATGCTGTCATTTTGCTCTGACAATGTGATAAAGTACTGTACTGCATCACCTGCACATCTCAAGTTAGACTTGGAAAGTCCTCATTGGGAACAGAAACTAGAGAAATCATATTTCCACAATTATCCCAGAGTTCCAGGCTTGACATGCAAATGAATGAAGTCTGCGTTTTAGCATGCATTCTGCATTTCTACAGGTACCCTTAGCAATAGACAATGTCTTAAAAATAAATATTTTTTTAAAACCAAAGCACTGGCTGTGATCCAAAAGCATCAGTGATCAGTAACCAACTCTAACAATATAAAATCTTGCTGTTTATGAGATATCGGCCAGACAGCCACCAGCGCTTCGATTCTCTAATGTTTTCATGTTTGGGGTTGTCACACATAGCATGATGATGCGAATGCAAAAATAGGAATATGCAGACAGCATGCCTGCATGTCCTAAATGAATGAACAAGCTATGTTGTCACAAAGCTCATTATTCATGAACATCTACATCAAGAATGTATGTGGTGTACTGCTCAATACTTCTCAACAAGAAGTATTGGATTGGATGAAAGTCATAAAGCCTGATGTCTTCAAAGCTGTAGAAAGCAAATCTCTATGCACTGGATTCAAGGGAAGCCTAAATTCATTTTTAACTTTTTTTTTCATAAGAAGTGGAAGTTCGAAAAAAAGAAATCGAAAACAATTCATGGGCATATTAGGCTTAAAAGGAAAATAAATATTCAAAATATTGCTCCTTTAACCCCTTAAGGACCAAACTACTGGAATAAAAGGGAATCATGACATGCCACACATGTCATGTGTCCTTAAGGGGTTAAAGTAAATATCAGCATCAAAGTTCTGCAAGAATGAGATACTGGTGTCAGTCTCCCAACCTAATGTCTCTGCCCCTTTGGTGAAGCATTGGATGGGTCACCAACAGATTGGAGGCTGAAGTAGGATGTGTGCATTTATCTAGTCCAACTGCCTACATTCTCTAACTGCTCTTTTGTGAGACAGTTTAATATTTGATCTTACAATACTGCAACTGTCCCACCATGCCCAGCCAGGTATGCCCTCTTATATCCTTAGCCCCAAACTTGTCTTCTGTAGAACCCATGACACTTATGTCTGCAGATACATACTGCTTATTATTGCTAAAGGAGATAAACCTGGCCAAAATGCGTCATAGAAATGTGCGTAATCTACCAATTTGCAATTTGATCCAAGTGCATGCTGTACATTTCTTTTTTAATTTGTGTGTGTAACCTAGTAGTCAAGAAAATTGGCCAACAAAAAGGACATTGTTCTTGAAATCTTGAAAAATCTCATGATAAAAATAAAGTTTAATAAAGTTTCCCTTTAAGTAGAGAAAATGGTGCCCATGTAATAGAAACGTCAAACATGCCCTGTTCTTAATTACTTAGCGCTGATAATATCATATTTGGATGGAGTATAGAAATGATTTGAACAGTCAAACAGGAAACCTTTGGTGTTGTTGATAAGCTAGTCATTTGCCTCTTAACAAGTTCCCTTTATTGAAAATATCAAGTTTTCCATGGGGATTATCAGTTTTGCAACAAAATAAGAATTAACTGAAGTCTAAAGATATTGGTGTTCGTACGGTTTATTTAAATATTTGTTCAGTCTCAAAAAATCTGGTGGAATCTCAACATGTAAAGTTAAAAATTACGATAAATTTTATCTCATAGCAAATAACGACAAAAGCCACATCATGGTATATCTGCTATGTACAATGGCAGAGAAACCAATCTCCGAGAGCCAAAAATCCTTGTGTGATTTAACTGGGTTGAAGGCTGTGATAATGTCTACTGTAACTCAACATTTCTCCTCTGATAAATTATAGGACATTCCATACTTGTTTCCATTGCATTGAAGGTTATGCAAATGAAAGCAACTGACGAGGAAATGCAGTAAATGTTTTAAACATATTAATATCATTGCAGAGTACTTAATACATTCCATTAACCCCTTAACGCCATTACGGCTTTAAAGCCGTTGCAGCGGCATAGAACGCCGTAACGGTTTTCAGCCCCAGGGGATCGCAACTACTCACCTCCGCCGCAATTCTCTTCTGGAGGGCTACCTGACAGCCCAGGCAGCCCTCCCCCGGCAAATGAGGCCCCCGGGGGCCCCTATAGCTGGCTGTGGATCTGCCAGCAGGGGGACTGTCTGAAATATCAGACAGTCCCCCTGCTGGTGGAAAGTGTAAAGAAAATCATTAAACATGTTTAAAAATAAAATAAATATATTTAATGATAAATTAAAGCCCTGTTTCTCCTGAACAAAATGATATCTAATAAGTGTGGGTGCACTTAATGTGACAGCGGTGAATTACGGGTGAACAGACATATAGCGCAAATTCCAGTTTTTGTTTACATTTTGTTTTGATCAGAACATGTACTATTGACTCCGTCCTGAAGGGGTTAAGGGAATGCAGTGTTATAAATAAATAAATACATTTAGTCAGATATTTTTTATTTAAATAAAATGCTTACTGCCCACAGACTCCCCCTATCCTACGCCAGAAATGTTTAAACAGACACTGTATGCACTATACACACATACTCCATCCGCACGCTACACACACCTTGCATCCACTACACACACACTGTATCAACTGTATACACACAAACTCTACATCCACAATACACATACACCTTGAATCCACACTTCATCTCCACTATACAGGGAGTGCAGAATTATTAGGCAAGTTGTATTTTTGAGGATTAATTTTATTATTGAACAACAACCATGTTCTCAATGAACCCAAAAAACTCATTAATATCAAAGCTGAATATTTTTGGAAGTAGTTTTTAGTTTGTTTTTAGTTATAGCTATGTTAGGGGGATATCTGTGTGTGCAGGTGACTATTACTGTGCATAATTATTAGGCAACTTAACAAAAAACAAATATATACCCATTTCAATTATTTATTATTACCAGTGAAACCAATATAACATCTCAACATTCACAAATATACATTTCTGACATTCAAAAACAAAACAAAAACAAATCAGTGACCAATATAGCCACCTTTCTTTGCAAGGACACTCAAAAGCCTGCCATCCATGGATTCTGTCAGTGTTTTGATCTGTTCACCATCAACATTGCGTGCAGCAGCAACCACAGCCTCCCAGACACTGTTCAGAGAGGTGTACTGTTTTCCCTCCTTGTAAATCTCACATTTGATAATGGACCACAGGTTCTCAATGGGGTTCAGATCAGGTGAACAAGGAGGCCATGTCATTAGATTTTCTTCTTTATACCCTTTCTTGCCAGCCACGCTGTGGAGTACTTGGACGCGTGTGATGGAGCATTGTCCTGCATGAAAATCATGTTTTTCTTGAAGGATGCAGACTTCTTCCTGTACCACTGCTTGAAGAAGGTGTCTTCCAGGAACTGGCAGTAGGACTGGGAGTTGAGCTTGACTCCATCCTCAACCCGAAAAGGCCCCACAAGCTCATCTTTGATGATACCAGCCCAAACCAGTACTCCACCTCCACCTTGCTGGCGTCTGAGTCGGACTGGAGCTCTCTGCCCTTTACCAATCCAGCCACGGGCCCATCCATCTGGCCCATCAAGACTCACTCTCATTTCATCAGTCCATAAAACCTTAGAAAAATCAGTCTTGAGATATTTCTTGGCCCAGTCTTGACGTTTCAGCTTGTGTGTCTTGTTCAGTGGTGGTCGTCTTTCAGCCTTTCTTACCTTGGCCATGTCTCTGAGTATTGCACACCTTGTGCTTTTGGGCACTCCAGTGATGTTGCAGCTCTGAAATATGGCCAAACTGGTGGCAAGTGGCATCGTGGCAGCTGCACGCTTGACTTTTCTCAGTTCAT